AAAAAAAAAAAAAAAAAAAAAAAAAAAGGAAAGGGTGGTAGGGCTATAGTTCAGTAGTATATAGCCTGTCTAGCACATATAAGCCCTGTTCAATACCCATCAGCTAAATTAAAACAAAAACAAAAGGTATTTCTAGATTTATGAGTTCCTTCTCAAACATACAGAGCCAGATCTTGATGGCATGGCCTCCTGTCACCTCTGGGCCTTTGCTCATGCTTCTTCCTTTGCTCGGCACACCTGTCCCACATGCCACTCAGCGTCCCAATTCTACCAAACACTGACAGAGGTCTGTCCCTGTGAGCAGCTCCTCAGGGGGTATGTAGTAGAGTCTGTAGAGAGGTTGCCTGGGGCTCTGGAACCACCATCACAGGTGTCCCTGGGACTAGTCAAGTTTACTTCCAAGGAAAAGGGTCTAAACATATAAACCAACACAACGCTAGTAACAATACCTTCAGCAAACAAGCCATCAAAGCTGTGAGGAGTGCCCACTATGTGCCAGGTGATGTTAAGACATTTGTAAGGGACTTGGATCTTCACAGCAACCCTGAGAGGTAGGTGCTATCCTCACTCCTACCCCTTAGCAAATAGAGACAGAGATTGAGATGACAGTCACAGCCCTCTCTGCAGGTAGCCCACCTTGCTGTACATTCAGCCCCTTCTAGAGCTGTACTAACTGCCTCACACAGCAGGTGAGCCACGGTCCTCTAGACATAGCTGCACTGATCACTGGGTTCACACCCTACATGCCCTGGCCAAATTCATAGCAACCCTACCTGCACAAGGCCTACATAGTGAGTCCCTGTCTCAAAAACAAACAAATGTTGCCCGGCGTGGTGGCGCACGCCTGTAATCCCAGCGCTCGGGAGGCTGAGGCAGGAGGATCACTGTGAGTTCGAGACCAGCATGGGCTACATAGTTCCAGGTCAGTTTAGACTACATAGTGAGACCCTGTCTCAAAAAACCAAACCAAACAAAACAAAAAATGCTACCAAAGGCCTGCAGTCACTAGGCTTCTGACTATTACAGGCACGATTCCCAGGATGGTGGTGTACTGGGGTACTGCAGAGTCTGGTCAGGCTGGGGTAGTGATTCCAAGGCTCTAACACAGGAAACTGAACAACCAAATGCAGCATATTCCCTGGGTATGGGCTGTGCCTGTCAAAGCAGCCAGGATCCTCTGTACATCATAGCTGTGAGGATGTAGAGGGCCTCTATGTACCAGGGCAGAAAGGCTGGCAATGGCCACTTGGCTCTTCTTCCTACTTGCCCAATGGAGCAGGAGAAAGAAGGTACATTCTGGAGCAGAAGAAGGATCAGGAGTCAGTCTGCCAGGACTGGGGCCCTCCCGGAAGAAAAGAGGCCAAGGATATGAATTCATAGGGTACAGGGGGCCTGGGATCTAATCTTTTGTCTCTGGAGGCATCAGTTTTTCTCTCTGGCCACTGAGGGCAGAGAGAGTGGCCCTTTGATCACTCTCTTTGAAGGTGGTGTAGGTCCCTAGTGGCTTTGCTCAGTGATGGGAATGACTGCACAAACTTGCCTTGCGTCTGATTTTCCTAGCAAAGACATAGATACCCTTGATAGTACCTGAGCAAGCTGTGTGAGTCAGGACACTTGCTCCCTGCTCCAGCTTGTTTTGAGTTCCCACTTCCCTGCCCCTTTCAAGCTCAGTTTACCTATCTAAGGCCTCTAAAACTCCAAGAGTTGGAAGGACATTCTCTGCCCTTTGACAGGTGGACAAAACAAGGTCATGGAACTTCTATCTCTGGACTCAGGACAGTCCCTTTGTCTTTGTAGCAACTGTAACTCAGGTGGGAAGTAGGGAGAGGCAGGACGGGGGCATGGCGCTGGTGGCTAGGCAGGACAGGGGAATACCTGAGACAGAGTCAGGAGCACTGCCCCAGCAGCTATAGCAGAGAAGGGGCCAGGAGCAGCGTGAGTAGGGCCACAGCAGCAAGGGAAAGAGCAAAGATCCTGGCTCTCAGGTGTCCACAGCCTAGGTGCCTCAGTAGCTGTGGGACAGCAGTCTCACTCTTCACTCCCCAGGCTGGGCCTCTTTTCCACTGGGGCCCAATGATCTCTCCTACCAGATATATTGGCATCAAGCCCAGAGTTTGCCTGCACCCGACTGGTTCTGGATACCCAGCTCCCTCACCATCCCCGGGCCTTCCCAGCCGACTCCAGATTGCTGCGAAGATGCTAAGCAAGGGAGCTCAGCCAAAAGAAGGTGCAGGAGTCAGCCCCTCCTGCTGAAGAGGGCCCCATCAGGTGCTCCAGCCCCAGCTGAGTGAGAGCAGAGGGGCCTACAGAGGTTCCCTGGGGTGGCTATGACATTCCCACTGGGCCATACCTCTTCCCACTAGCCCTTGCCCTGTGGTGCAGCTGCTGGGCCCACAGCAGGAACACAATAATCGCAGCAATGTGCTAGGAAACAGTGGCTCTCTGCATCAGAACATGTGCTTCTACTGTGAGGCACTGAGCCCCGAAGGAGGAGGAAGACAGATGGGGGAAGGGAGACAGTACCACCCCATCTGCTTGAACAAGGCCAGCAGAGCCTTGGAGTAGGAGGTAGGCCCATAGGCCCAGCCACTTGATGCTGCTCCTGGGCTCTCCAGCATCCAGGTCACTTCTACCTGTCTATCTTGGACCTCTACTTCCTACATTAGAATTTGACTGGCTGGGAAGAGGTGACACATGGATGTCCTCTCTAGTCTGTTTCCCCTCTGCAGAAGCTGCCAATCTTCAGCCAGCCAGCCCACCTCTCATCTTCAGACCCTCTCCCAGAGGGAGGTCCAAACCTGCCACAGCCCTACTGTCCACCCTGATCTTTCCTGAGATCTCCATGAACTTCTGCTTACTTACTGCCCCTTTTCTGGTCCTTCATTTGTGGAAAAGCACAACCTATTATCTCTTCCTAGGAAAGAGGTTAGGATGGAGCGCAAAGTTCTCACAGTGTCTGACACATGGTAAGCATTTAGATAAAAATCATCATTATTTTCCCACCCTACGAAAGAATACAGATTTCCCCATGCCTTTCATTCCCTGCACTTCATGATGACCACAGAGTGCTGGGCACTGTAACAGAACTGACTGCTGGTGATACCTTATTTGTAAGGGAACTTCTAAAGGTTTTTGGACAAAGAGGGTAAAGAACAATGAACAGTAGTATCAGAGCAGAGGGATTCCCTGCTGGGACTTAGTGTAACCTAGGACAAGAGTAAGAACCACTCACTCCACCACTGGCTTCTGGCTTTGCTTTGAGTTCGTCACTTCCTTTCCACACACGGCTCTCCCACATAGCTCAGCCTCCTTCCTGCCCAGCAGCCACCAATCCTGCTCATCAACACCACACTAAGCACGCTGGGTAAAAGCCTCCCTGAAGACAGCGCCGTGGCCAGCGGGTGCCCTGGGACACATGGGCTGGGGAGAGAAGCCAGTTGACGTGGCAGCTCCAGGGCACAGATTTTCATAAGAACCAGAGGCAGGGACCACAGTGTAGACTTGGGCAGTAGTCCAGCTATAACCCACAGCACCAGGCGTGCCTACACTGGCACAAACCCCATGGGAGCACAGTGGAACAGAAGGGGGTGGGCCTTGGGAAGCCCACCCCAAAGGCAACCAGAACCACCTCCCACTCTCACCTCTAGAGGATGCCCCATCTACAGCCCCAGCCTGCAGTCTTCAGGTCCTAGCAGCAACCACCACTGTCCCAGGGTGGCAGGCTTGGTCACCACCAGGGGGAGCCCATCAGCCAGAAACAAAGTGCAGGAGGTGGAGT